GTGCAGAAGCTTTTTGGTTTGATGTACTTCCACTTATTTATTTTTGCTTTTGTTGCCTGTGCTTTTGGTGCCAAATCCAAAAAAAAGTTTTCTTCTAGAAGTTTTACAGTTTCAGTCTTATATTTAATCCATTTCAAATCACTTTTTGTGTACTTTTGCAAGTGTTTTTTTTACTCTATAGTATCTTTTGCGTTTGGGCAATCCCCTACCTAAGGAGATGGAGTCTGCTTCTCTGCATAGACTACGAAATTGCTAGTGAGGCTCAACTTGAGTTTCTCTTGTAGCTAAGGTGTGGACACTTGACATAGAAACAACTCTTCCGATGTAGCCGCCTAGACTTTTTAGCAGAACCTAATGCCCCGAGAAGAAGAGAGCACCCAGAACCCATCCTGGTGAGGAGAAAGGCTGTGGTAGTAGCTACATCTTGATCCCGGAGGCAGCAGTGGTCTCTGGTCTCGAGTGAAACTATCACCATGTCTGGAGTTGGTGATGTCTGTACCTAAATGGTGGCTGCAATGAAATGCTGATGGGAAGATTACTATGGCATCATCTTTGGTACTTCCGGCTGTTCAGGTTCCCCATTTGCTTCTCTGGATCTTCCCAGAATCTCCTCAAAAAGATTATTTGAGCTTTTAATATCCTTTACTACTTAAATTAGCCAATTTGAAATATTTACTTCTCAGACACATAACTGATACCAAGAAAGTGTATAGGCAGTGGGGTCTTCATAGGATCAGCTCTGTGGCATGAGAGTAGTCCTTTGTTTCTGCCTGGATTGCCTCTGAGCCTCGGTCTCTGATCCTTCTGAACATCTCTGATCTTTATAGTATTCTATAAATTCATCTCTTTTCTAATTAAATTAAATATATATGGCTTTGGCTATTTGCTGAAAGATGATGAAAATACTCAAAGATGTGATTGTAACTACTTGCAAGTAGAATCAAAAAATGACAAATATGTTGCTGATTAAAAACATACTTATAAACATTTTTTATTATTTATAGTTTGATACTAACTCTACAGTTTGAACTAATAGAAAAATTGATATCTAGATGTTATTACAAGTTAATTTGTTTTTGGCAAAAGCATTTGATATTAATAGACCTTAAAGAAAATACTTATTAGATATTTTACAATGAAACAGTTAAAAAATGATTAATTTTATCCCCAAATATTAATGTTTCAGAAATTTTCATCTCTGAAAAACATTTTGGTTAATTTTCCTGTCTATATATATGTCCAAATTTTATGTTCAATTATTACGGGATCATGACAGTTAACAAAGTATCAAAAGATTGCATAGAAATATAGTAATATCTGTCCATAAAAATCATTTTGGTTCACACCTTATCTTTTAGTTCTGCAAATGTTATATATTTTAGCAATAAGATCTATCAAAGTTTATATCATCATATTAAAAATACTACTTTTTTGCTGAACATTATTTTTTAAAAGAAGTGCATAAAATATACAATATTCTTCAGAGTAAAATAAGTTTTTTTCCTTCACCTTATTGTACTTCAAATGATATGATAATTTAAATTTCAATTATAAATTTAACTGTATAATTAATCAGTTTGGAAAATCCCTCTAAAATATAGAGCAAATTGATTAGGCCAGAAATTAAGAATTTAAAGAGTGCCCTCTGCTGCATAAATTTAAGTGTGCAATGTCCTCAGTACTTGCTTATGTCCTCAATGCTTGCTTTCATAGAGTCACAAAATTTTTTTTCATGAAGCCATACTAAAAATAAAATATACAAGCATCACATTACCACCAAATACGTGTTTATGAATTGCCTGTCCTTTCACTTCTCTGATTAATTGTACCATTTTATGTAATAAAAGTACATAATTTTATTTCAGTAAAGTACTAAATATTAGTTACTGCATTTAAGATGCATACTTGAAGAGATAAATGATACTCTTTTAAATATTACTATTTTGCCTTTAATAAGGAATAGGAATCTATTTCATTTTAATACACTTGGGAAAAATTCTATTATTTTTTATTTCATGCAACTGTCTTTGACTACTTATTCTAAGTCTAGGTGTAATCTAGATATAATTATATCTTTAGAATACATCTATGTTTCTCTATAACTAAGATTAAAAGTTTAATTAATATATAGTTTGAAGTGTTCTTCTTGAACCTCTTATAAAATTCTTGAAAGAATATTTACCTCGGTACTTTTTGATGACTTTTTGAGAATCAACATTTATTCTACAGTAATAATAAATCATTTTTATGTTAATGTGAGTTTTTTGCTAACATCATTTGATTTATTAAAGTGTAATGTTAAAAACTGATAGTGATTTTTGAACATGTATCTTGAATTTGTAAATTTTAAAATGTAGACTTTTCTCAAATTTTCAAGTAAATTTTTATCTTATTTTACTGATAAATTTTCAGAAAATTTATCAGTGTGTGCTTATTACACAAATGTAGTTAATTAATATCCTTTAATAAAATCACTTTATTAATTTACTATATTCCTTTTTCTTTTTAAAATTTTCAATCCCTGACAAAAAAGATTCCCATGTTCTTTTCATGCAACTCTAGTAAATTAAAATTATAAATATGGTGATTCTTAAACATTCCAATGAAGTTAAACAGTGAAATTTTCTTATATTTTGCAACTTAAATTTACAAGTCTAAGTCAATACTCAATTTCTTTTAAATATTCAAGTGTGCCTAATCATTCAAAAACCTTAAAATTATCCAAATGCCAAATATATAACATATTTTAATGTACAATGGTTTTTACATGTTCTGTTTAACTGTGACACCAAATATTAGTATTTGGCAATTTGTTCATTATTTCTATACTTAATCCCATTCTTCTTGAAATCCCAAACATAGTCCCTCAGGATAAAAATAATATCTTGGTAAGTAACTTGGGTGTCATTAGCTGGCTGGGTCTGCTTATCTATCAGGATTTTGGGCTGAGGTTGTTAATCTGGAGCTGTGGACATTCATAGACAGTGTTCATAGCACATAGACTTTTATATCAAGCCCTTTTGTTAATTTTAATGTACTTACTGTTAATAAGGCATTCAAAATTATAGTCATAAATGGTGCTGGTGTTTTTGCAACCTGAGTCTTCTGAGGTTAAACCCTAATTCTTACATGTTCTCTTCAATTCTATGGCTTGGTTCATGCAAATATAATTATATAAATTTTTAATAAGCTGTTTATCCATTGATTGGATTAAACTAATATTTTTATGACCTAATTCTACTTTAAATTATTTTCATAGTATTGCTACCTGGAATATTCATATTTCTCATAAATATGTAAATGGCATTCAATTTTGATTCTGTGTGCATCTTCTAGATGTGTGAATATGTTTCTAAGATCCTTCTAGTGACATTATTACTAAAATAGACCCAAGTGTTTGTATTGGTTAATTATAATTACAGAAAGGTTGTAACAAACAGCCACAAAATCTCAGTGGTTAACAACAATCAGACTTTATTCAGCTGGAGTCTGTGAGGCAACTAAAGGCTGATTGATCTAGACTGGGCTCTGCAGGAAAGACTGGTTATGATCCTGTCTCTCATACTCCCACTGGGAGCAGTGAGTCTGCATTACTGTGTGCTTCTCATTGCTGTGGCCAAAATACAAGAAGGTAAAACCAGTTGCATAAACACTTGGAAGGCTCAGCCACATCATGCCCACTAGCATTCCACTGGTGATGTCAGGCGCATTTTCCATTTTCCAAAACACTGCAAGTGATGATTTCGTCATGTGTTTCACCACTAAATAACACATATCACCATTTTTCCAGCTGCTTATGTTTTATCACCATTTTTCCTGTAGCATCCCCCTTTTAAGTATTGTTTTCTGTCAATTATCTTTAGCTGCAGAAAAAACTCAACAGAACAACACACACACACACACACACACACACACGCACAACCCGTAGAATTCAGTTGCCTAAAACAATGATTTATTTTGCCCATATGTATACAAAAAAGGTGGGCCAGCTCGGCTTGTCTCCATAGTAAGGTTTGGCTCAGATCTGCTTTATGTTTTTATTTGGGGACAGCATTTCCTCAGGGAAACTCTTTTCACAGTGATGGCTGAGACATAAGAGAAGAAGCCCAACCACACAGATTCTTTTCAAACATCTGGGTCTGTCATATCTGCTAATATCCCATTGTCAAAGCCTAGAAACAAGGGTTGGGGAAAGCAACTCTGTCCATTGAAGTAGAGAAAAGAGATTGAGCATTTTTTAACAATAATCTGATGCACCACACAGATGAGGATTGGCCATCTGCAAAGGTCGATATATGCTAATTACAACCAGAAGTAAACAATTATTTTCAGGGACTCACTCTGATAGACATATGGGCATACAAAAAAATCAATAATTTAGATATTAAAGGACTGGATTTCAATCCTAACTCTGTCATTTGTTGTACAAATGGATAAATTAATTTCAATTATTTTAAATAAAGATCCCAGTGAAATTGCTTCATTAAAACAAAACTGCAAATATTTTTTAAGAAGTATTTTTATATCCCCAGTAAATGATTGATTTCTTAAATTATTATGTAGACTCCTTGGCATTCTCTTTCATATCAAAGAATTCTTCATTCATATATAGTCACAGTATGAGGTTGGATAAAAGCCATGTTAAAATTAGAAATATATATATATTCATATTCATATTGTTTCCTTATATAGGAGGGAAACAATATGAGTAAGAGAATGAGAGAAATGCATGAATAATACAGGAGAAAGCAGGTGGAAAGTCAAATATTTTGATACTGGCGACGTCATATGTTTAACCTACTCTAATGCTAATTGACAGAATAACAAATTAAACCATTTTATTCAATATTTGTAATTTTTAATAAGCCAGAAAAGTTTTTCTGTGATTATAATGGTCATATACAAGTATAAAAATAAGGAAAATAGGAAATCAAAAATCAAATGTGTTCCTAAATTATTTTTAAATTGTAAGTCTATTTTGCTTTTAATTCTTTATTTAGAATGCGCTCATCTTTGGAAAAAGAAATAGAACGACTGGAGTCAGCTTTGTCTGTATGGAAATGGAAATATGAAGAACTGAAAGAATCAAAGCCAAGAAGTCTGAAAGAGGTATGGAGGCATACTATGTAGAGGAAGAAATGAAACACACTTTTCTCTGTTCAGATGTGTAACCTATTAGGCAGAAAGCTCCATAGACAGGAGGAAAAGTAAAAAATTGAATTTCCTCCACAAGAGGGATATTTTAACTCACATGTCCATGTGAACTCAGTTAAACTCAACCCATAAGAAATCTTTTTCTAAATAACACATATTTTTAATGATCAACATTACACAATTAACTGTCCATTCCAGGCCCATGTGAGGGGAATGTTAAAGAGGTCATTATACCATAACACTTAAATAAACAATTTTATCTTATTCTTTTGTGTGGCAGTCTGAAAATACCAATATATCTCAAGTGCACCTAGGTTCTTTTCATATTGGCTTTATGGATTATTCAGGATCAGCGACTTGCCTTTATACTTTTCCTTTGCATTTTCATCAATAAAATGCTGTCACGAGCCTTTCCCATTTCAATGATTTATTAATATTCATTGTTAAAACAATATTAATTGCGCATCTTGTGTGTACCAAAGCATTGTTCTAGGTAAGCATGTGGGATAGAATAATGAGCAAAGAAAAGAAAAATCCTGACAAAATGATGACAAGCCAAATGCTTCAAATGAGTCAACATTTAGTTGGGTGTGTATGTAGTGTGTTTATTTATATATGTATTACATTAATTATATACTATGTATTATATATTATATATTACATGTATATATATACACACACGTGTATATATCCACACATGCAAAGCATATGTATGCTGACCAGCTGTCTAAAAGAAGGTGAGTCTCTAAATCAAGTATGTAATTGTGCCTTAATCAAAAGCACTATTTCATCCGTTGTTAAAAAACGTGGTAAGCGGTATTTCTTTTTGTTTATGAAATCCCATATTAATGTTGCTTCAGATTTGTTTCCAGCAAGTGATAAAGTTTAGAGTCATTACGTTTGTTGAACTCACATGAGGAAACTTACTTGCCAGCATAAGCCTGACTTATGAGTCACATGTGGGCGTTCTGATGTCCGTGGAGTATTGTAATGATCATGCACTGGCTCAGAAATAGTCAGCTATGTTAACACAGTGGACCCCTGAGATTTAAAATCAGGGAGAGCTTTTCCTAATATTATTAAGCAAATATCTCCTGCTTAAAAATCATTTATTAACAAAAGATCATTTCAGTGAGAGCCACAGACAGTTTGAGAACATTTCTCAGTGAGGGCTAAATTAAACAAACCTAACAAGCCACATAAAGTTTACCTCTCCTTTATAGATTCACGTCAGGTTGTCAGAGTTGTTTTGTTTTTAGCTCAAGCTTTCAGTATATGTATATATATATACACAATGTATGTGTGTGTACACATACACATGCATTTATATATGGATTCATAGTATTTATATTCACAGGTATGTAACTGAACATGATGTCTCTGAGTGTGAACAAGGACAGTAAATTAATGTTATACAGGAAAATAGTTCAGAATACAAGAATCATATATGTTTAGAGTGTATGTGTATTTGCCCCTATAATTTAATGGGCTCTAAATTTGAGAAAACTGATACTGAAGATAGAATGGGTTTTAAATTTAAAATAAATGTGCACTTACTATCTCTTGCCACTAGTGGACACTGCAGACTTGACAACATTAGTTTCTTAATGCTTTTTTTTTCAAGTAATTTAACATTTATGTAGCAACTGTTTTTAAAAAAGGCATGGTTTTGAGTTGGTTTACAAAGGATATGTATATTTTAAATGTTTAATGTTTTATATTTAAAGATGATATTTTGGACATTAAGTGGGAACATGTCTACTTTAACAAAGCTTTATAGATGAGAAAAAAATAAAACCAATATAGCATTTTACAGTGTAAAATAGGTCTACATTTTGATACACATACAGAAATATGTATTAGTACATATTAGTTCATTAGTACATACATGTGATCCTTTTACTAGATAAAATTATAGAGGTTTTGGAACGGGGGAAACCTCAGCATTGTTGTGAAAAATTTGTTCAACTATTTAAACTTTGAGCACATGTTTCAGTTTAATGAACTACAAATTTGAACACTGAGTGGAAGTGACAATTAATAAAAAAAGTTTTATGGAAAGTTAATTTTAACAGGGAAAAAGAAAAAAAACGTTGTTTGATTTATTTATATGAGATTACTTTTTAAAATCTCTTTCTACTCCCTAAAATGGAATTTGTGATAATCTTTAAAGCCTTTTTGAAAAGATGTGATATGCACATATGTTTAAATTATTTTATAAAATATTGTGGAACATTTGAAAATATTTAAAAACTGAATAAGTAAAAATACTTTGTCACGTAATTTTTATGTATACTTTGCTTAATTGTTTTATCATAGATTAGAACAAGAAGAATTTTATGGTTCATTTAAGATGGCATTGTAGAGTAATTATAAGTGTAAAACATTCAAAGTTTCTATTCAGTTGATTGACAATCTGGAAATGTGTCATGATGTATCCTCTGGAACTTCATGTGAATTCTCCTTTTTACTCCATTCCTCAAAAATTATGAAAAATGTCTTTCACTTTCACTGTAGCTCCTCATCTATAAAAAATTTTTGAATACAAATGTAATTCTGTTTTAGCTGCCTGAAACTGTTACAAGCAAATACATGCCTGGCTCGGAACTGCTGATAGAAAAATTAGCAATTTTTAGAGATGGAAACAGATGTGCTTAATAGACCAAGGTTTTTAAAAATGTATTTGAAAATCTTGCATCTTTAGAGGGAAATCATTCTTAAATCACTGACATTTAGCGAAGAGTAAATTTAAGAACTTAATTGTAAAATCTAATATGTATTTAAAACACAACCAAGACAATGGGTAGTAGAAATGATTATATTCCAAATGCTGTTCCCATGCTGAATTTAATACTTATTCAGGTTTTCCTTTGCACATGTGTAAGTATTGATTTGGAATTACAATATGAATTCCAATTTTTTGAAATGGTTATTTTCATGAAATCTCATGATCTAGAGAATCGAATATTTATGGAAGTAATATTGATTACAAATAATTATGGTACTTTTGCTTTAACAATAAATGACTCTGATTCTTTCCATAATGGAAGATATCTTACCATATATGGACAATACTGCTAAGATTTTAAAATTGGTCTCAAAATGAAAAATGAAATGTAACTTAGAAAAATGAAACGTAATTTGTCTTTGAAAATTTTGTACTCTTACTGGAATTTTTTAAAGGATTTTATTGAGGAATCTTCTATCTTTTTGTGATAATAATAATGTTTCTAGTCATTTATAATTTACAATGTTCTTTTATAATATTTATATTAAATACTTATAGAGACAGGCTTTGTGAGGCCATATATGGCACTAAAGGCGGTCAATAAAGCCTTATCTCAAATACCTCAAAACACTTTTCTTTTTTTTTTTTAAAGATTTTATTTATTTATTTGAGAGAGAGAGAGAATGAGAGATAGAAAGCATGAGAGGGAAGAGGGTCAGAGGGAGAAGCAGACTCCCCGCCGAGCAGGGAGCCCGATGCGGGACTCGATCCCGGGACTCCAGGATCATGACCTGAGCCGAAGGCAGTCGCTTAACCAACTGAGCCACCCAGGCGCCCAAAACACTTTTCTGATTTTGGGGAAATAGAAGGTTAGAATTAGGATTATATGTAGCTAAAACTACACTATTACCTTTAATTTTTTTCAGATATAAGATTTTTCTAAATCTTTCTTTCTTTTATTTATTTTTTACTTGAAGTTTGGTTGAAGATACCTTCACTTTTTAAAAGATTATGTCAGTGGTCAGTGGACACTTAGGTTGCTTCCATATTTTGGTGATTGTAAGTAATGCTGCAATAGATGGAAGGATGTATATATCTTTGTGAATTATTATTTCATTTTTTGGGTAAATACCCAGTAGTGTAATTATTGTATCATATAATATTTTTATTTTTATTTTTTGGGAAACCTCCATACTGTTTTCCACAGTGGCTGTACCAAATTACATTTCCACCAACAATACACGAGGGTTCCTTTTTCTCCACATCCTTGCCAACACTTGTTATTTCCTGTCTTTTTTATTTTAACCATTCTGACAGGTGTGAGGTGTATCTCACTGTGGCTTTGATTTGCATTTCCCTGATGATGAGTGATATGAGCATTATTTCATATGTCCGTTGGCCATCTGTATGTCTTCTTTGGAGAAGTGTCTGTTCATGTTTCCTGACCATTTTTTATTGGATTATTATTATTTTTTTTTTTTGGTGTTGAGTTGTATGAGTTCTTTATTTTGATACTAACTCTTTATTGGATATGTTATTTGCAATATTTTCTCCTATTCAGGAGGCTGTCTTTTAGTTGTGTTGTTTCTTTTGCTGTGCAGAAGCTTTTTATTTTGTAGTCCCAGTTTATTTTTGCTTTTCTTTCCCTTGCCAATATGACAGCTATTATGCATGCATAAGGAAAGGGTCCTCGAAGATACCTATTTGAAATAGGTGGATGGCGAAGTGTTAGTACTGTTGTGAGCTCAAAACTTAGTTTAAAACTCTCTCATTTTGCTATTTTTGTGGCTTAAAGAAATTACTCCATAGAAATGACCAAAATTGTTAATATATCTTATCAGTTCTAACCCTAAACTGTAGCTCCTACCATTGCTTTACATCTCTGCTACTTTCCCAGTCATAACCATCAGATCTCCTACTTTGCCCCCTCCTGCCACGTCTCTTATCCATCACTGTTGACCTTTTTATTTTTCCATCCAGCAATCAGAGTGATATTTCTAAAAACACAAACTGGATCATATATTACACCGTTGCTTCAAACACTTCAGTGACTTCCCTTTTACTTAGAGTATAGCTGCCTTCCAAGTAATTGGAAGTCTAAGGAAATCTAAATCCACCTGGTTAAACCACCAGATGTTGACAATTCAAAGGATGTATGATAATGATACCGCTCTTTTCTACCCTAAACTGCTCTAATGAGCAGTGCCCCAAATTTCAGTGTGTAGGA